AGCAGAGTAGTCAGGCCCTAATTCAATTCAATTCGAATTATTTAAGATGGTGGTTCTTAAAGCAGTCTTTAGCTCCCAACACATTGAGATACAGCAAAAATGTGGTGTGGACCATCTGGGGTGCCTTCAGAACCAGTCTGAGAACCACAGCTTAAGGAATGGGGTCAATGCATTATAAAGTCTCACATTTCACTATTACTTAATTTGATTCATTTATATTGGTACGATTCTGAATCATTGAAAAAAACACAAATTTGGAGGAGCTATTTACATACTAGTACAGGCAATAAAACCAATAAACTGTACTTTTATTAAGTTAATTAATCTCACAATGAGAAAATTTATCCCATCTGTGCAATGAAACACCCCCATGCACACTAGTGAATGCACACACACTAGGGGCAGTGAGCACACTTGCCCAGAGTGGTGGGCAGCCCTATCCACAGTGCCCTGGGAGCAGTTGGGGGTTAGATGCCTTGCTCAATGGCACTTCAGTCATGTCCTGTCAGCTCAGGGGATCGAACCGGCAACCTTCCAGTCACAAGGCTGGTTCCTTAACCTTCAGAGAACTGATTTTTGGTCAAAATATGTTTTTGTTTTTTTTTACTTATTATTATAATCAATTCTATAATCCCTAAACAATGTAGTTGAATCACCACATTTAAAACAAAATATCATGCATACATAAATATAATATAAAATATAAATGCAATACATGCATTTTTGTACTGCTAGTAACAGTCAATTTATCACATCAAACCTTTGTGTTGACTGCTTAATTACATCAACTGCACAGACTTGCGTCACTGTTCTCATTATATGTTAGAGTCAGATTCAAAAGAAGCCCTGCATTCCCTGTGGAACTGTAATTATGCACGTGAACATTTTCATGTAATACGCATTTTAATTACAATAATGAATAGTCTGCCATTGACAGACAGCATGACTGGACAACATGAACTAGCGCAGACACAAGCCACACATAATTAATGGCTTAGAAACCTTGATTTAATTTCTCTTTAATCCTCATTCTCACTCTGTGCCTCTGTCCCACTTTTCTCTTTGCCTCAGTGCGGCACAAACTCAAGCTTCAGTAGGTTTGTCTAGGGCTAGAGTTTCTAGAGAGTAGGAAGTAGCTGTGCTGAAAAGGCCAGGGTGCTAATGGTTACCAAACTGCAGCAAATGCTTCTCATTCAGTGACGGATCTCCAGCTCTCTGATCACAACACCCAGCGGGGCCACGATTGTAGCTAACAGATGGACTAATAAAATGTTATTCACATCACAAAACATTAATCTTTCACATTGGTTCATACCTAAGAGCGCAAGCTTAAAAGCGTTTAGCATGTTAACAATTAAGCTAACGTCTCATGCTAAACTTCCCAGGAAAAGCTACAACCCTTTGAAAACAGGCCTACTCCAGCCTTGTCATGACTTGCCCTTGGCTCAAGCAGTCATTAGTGAAAAGCTTTTAGCACTTGCTAGGTTTTAACACTTGCTTTATCCTTGCTGAAACCTTATAACATCACAATGTGCTAACTTGTATGATAATTTTCTTTAAGAGATTAAGAGATATGAGACATATTTATGCAGACTTCTGGTCCCAGGTTAACGAAAGGCTAACATGTTAACCGAATGGCTAACATGTCAACAAGATTAGCTTTAAACCCATGTTAGCACTGTTGAATGGTACTACCCCAACATTAATTCTGTCCAACTGACCAAGAGCTCTGACAAGAGGGGGTGACCAAGCGCTCTGGTAAGGAAATAACTTGGTGTAAAGCTAGCCAGCAAATCACCTTCCATTTTAGCAGCATCAAACAATACAATGCAATTGCATAGCCAGAATTAGACTACTTGAATATACACCTATCAGCCATAATATTAAAACCACCTCCTTGTTTCTGCACTCAGTGTCCATTTTATCATCTCCACTGACCATATAGTTACACTTTGTAGTTCTACAATTACAGACTGTAGTCTGTTTGTCCTGTTGTTCAATGGTCAGGACCACCTCAGAGCAGGCATATTTTTAAATATCTCAGTGTCACTGCTGGACTGAGAGCAGTCCACCAACCAAGGCTAATAAAGTATACAGGAAAACAGATGGACTACAATCTGTAATTGTAGAACTACAAAGAGCACCTATACACTAAATGGAGCTGATAAAATGAACAATGAGTGTAGAAACAACAAGGTGGTTTAAGGCTATAGCTGATTGGTGTACAGCTGTAGTAAAAAAGAAGTACCACTGTCTTTGGACCTGTGGTACTAAATTAGAAATCTTTTTGAACTTAAAGATAAATCTGCTCTTTGTTGGAACAACAGACCAACAGACAAGAGTTGTTTTTGCATTAATTTGCAAAGAAACAGATAATAGTAGTTCAGACAGTGAAATAAATATAAATGGTAATGGTGTTCAGAGTGGGTATAGGGTTAGAGCCATGATTTTTGTTTACCATCTGAGGCACGACCCTCTAAAGGTCTTGCACAGGCCTGGATCAAACCAAGAGCTCATTGGTTCTAAACTGCTCAATGCAAGCTTAAGTAGCTGCCCAGCCTGCTAAAGCTACAGCATGTTAATGATGTTTGATGGCCTCTTTTGTTGCAGTAGCACATACTAGGAATTAACTAAAAAGCATGTAGGAGGAAGCAGAATCTACAAGCATTCTTTGTTAATTTTCTTTGTACAGACCTGTGTAGAATCTTAGAGGGTGAGCGGTTGGGTATTTTTGTATTTTTATCTTACAACTAAATTCATGTGAATATTAGCGTGTATCCTACACGTGAGGAAAAAAATGAAAAGTTAGTTCAAAATGAACTGTATTCAGTTCAGAATGCTTATTTTCAGTGTATAAAAACCCACAGCCCCTCAAACTCTCTCAGAGTTTTTCTTTGATGTTGTTTGGGCTCATCATATCCTGCTCTTGCTGGGGGAAAGGCTGTAATATCCTGTCCTGAAGTCACGTTTACAGCACACACTCAAACTTTCCTCTGCTCTGCCTCAGTCTCCATTGTTTCAGTTTTGTTCCTGTCATCAGACCCTGTATGTTCAGTATTTGACCTTAACTTCATGACTAAGCTAAACAAACAAAACTTCAGAACAGTTAAAAACCTCATGCATTTGGTATAATAATTGACCTCTTCCAAGTCACTTTTGGTCTTAACTGGATTAAAGTTTAGTTGTGACCAGTGCATGTGGCATATATCCAACAGTGGTATGTGACCAGCAGTGAGCGATAAACCCAGAGAGACCACAACCCACTAAGTGAATTTGTAAGACATGCAAACAGCGCCTCCGAGTGGTTTCTGCTGTAACAAAAAACACAGAGCCCTGACTGTTACACAGCACCACCAAGACACACTCAGTCCAATTGTTTATAAACCTGTTTGACATTGTTTGTCCAGTGATAATCTATGAGGTGGTATATGCAACAATCCTTCATTAACATTGTTGCATTTTCTTTACAAAAAACAACAAAAAAAAACAAAAAAACAAATCCTTCAATAACACCAATGTAAATGGAGAGAGAAAGAGACAGAGGGGGAGATCTCAAACAGTAGTCGAATAAAAACACTGTGACTCCTTCCAAGGTATCTGAGGGAGTTATATGCACTGTAAAGAAGGCCTGTTGTCACATCACATGAACATAAAATACACATGAGTTCAAAGAATGTCAGTAGCGCCACAGAAGCATTCTTTTTTTTAAACATCGTCAGGAAATCTGCAATCCTGGCACATAAGCCTACTGAGTATACCAGGATGTGTACTGCTCCTTTGGAGAGTCAGGACGGCCAGTGAATGACCAGAATCTGATCATAACTGTGAAAGGAATTGAAATAGCCTATGTTTGTGACACCCAGAGTTTTACAGGAAACAGATGTAGGGAACAACACCAAAGATAAGGTTGCATAGTGTGATTCCTGCAAGAGAAATCACTTTACCCAGGATTTCACTAGGGCCTAAAGATATGGACAAAATTCCACATTGCCCTAATGTTGATACATGTTGTGGGTGCACTATTTGTTGCAAAGCTAGACTACGTTAGTTTTGGAGATTTGGAGACCTCTTTGGTGGAAATGTGTAGTTGCACTCAATGTGCGGAAGAACATTTATGCTTCAGCCCACTTGCCCAAGCCGATGAATCTGATGACTGAGAGTGTGTTGAAAGAGTATTCAAAGAGATATTATATATTCATCAGCATAACGCTGATTCTCCATTTGAGACCTAAACATCAAGCAGGACTTTCCTTTTGAGCTCGTGCGTGTGACGTTAAAAGGTAAGGACATATGACGTGGTCTGAAAAACTCCCACAAAATCTGAACTGATGCCTCTTAATCTGACTTTTTTCTCCTGACTCAGCCATGCTATCTTTTTCAATTCGAACCAAAATATCTTGCATATTGCAGCTTTAAAGACTGGCCTGCATTATTTTGACCAAATTTGGTGTCAATCTAATATTTTTCATGTACGTGTCTGACGATGACTATACTGATGTCATTACATAAATGTTTAAAAAATGTTGACTTTGAGACTTGGTCTGGATTAGCATTACAGCATAATGTGCAATTTGTTTCTATATGGTTACAAATGCAGTAAAGTGGGTAAAATGCAGACATTTTAGCTTAGTGTGAGTAACTCATTGTTGCCTAAACATTCTGCCCTTTTAGAGTACAATAAATACATTATCAAACACTGGTTTAAAATGACGGTCAAATCTAAACATCTGCCTATGGCAATATTTATTTTGTGAGCAAATATCTGCCAATACCAGTCTGATTCTGACATAATTGTGCATACCTAAAGATGAATTTGCCTTGATTTCTCAAAACTGTGGGCAAAACACCCAGAGAAACACTCATCTGGAACATCTGAAGTGGTTCAGGATACTCACAGTAAAATATTTAGTTATTTCTTAGAGCGTTGTTTGCATATTGCAGTCTTGCAAAGCTAAATATTGCAATAGCAATTAACAAACAATATATTATGCAGTCCTTACCTTGGCCTGTGGTGCAGATGCAGGTGCACTGGCTGCAGGCTCTTGCACAGCAGTAGGAACAGGTTCAGTTTTTATCAAGTCATCCAGTTTCAGGTCCAATATGGACTCATATATATTCTCAGTGTCTGAGGAGCCCGTCGGTTCCGGACTGGACTCCTCGTCTGGCTCTATGAGCGGTTCTGGCTTTGGAGGCAGTCCCTGATGTCTGGGCTCTGTCAGGTTCTTGACCGTCGGTGGTTCCACAGGCTTGGCCTGTCGAGGGAGCGGGTCAGCAGGGCTAAAGCTGGGCACACGGGACTTCTGAGAAGCATCTTCTATGGGGGCACCCCGAGAACCAAACAGCAAGTTGGGTGCAAGGCTAAGTCTCTTTTTCTGCTGGGCGGCATCTGGAGCTGGGACTGAAGGGACAGGGTGAAGGGATAGGAGGGAGTCTGCTAAGCCACCATGCAGGTATGACGGAGGGTCATGGATGTCCAGGGGAACGCCGAACGTAGACATACGGTTGTCAGTCTTGCGGCAGTTCCCTGGAGAGCGCAACCTGATGGTGACCTCATTGGGCTTGGGCTTTTCTGCCAGGTCGGGCGCAGGAGGCCTTGGTTCTGGCCCTGGAGGGTCCGCAAAGTCCAGGGGTGAGGGGAGAGTGGGCGGCAACTCCTTCACATACTTTGCCGGAATGTAGAAGGGCTTGGCACGCTCATCTTTGCGCACGTGCCACCAATGGTTGTTGGTCTTGGCCAGAAGGGTGTACCGCTCGTTGGGTTTGATGGACACCATGCAGCCGTCTCGACCCATGTACTCATACTCAAACTCCACCAGCACCAGGCCCATGCTGCACGAAGACGCCATCTTGCCCACCTCACCCATCGCTCCACTTCTCAACACCTGCAGAGGTCACGCTGGGGTCACGGCTCAAGCAAAGCCTTCCTGAGGGTCAAAAACAAATAATGAGAGCTTTAGAGAAGGTCTTGATACATAAAAACCACTCTAGCCAATATTCTTTAATCTGAGTTATAAGTGCTGTGACTTCTAGCTAACCTCACAGCTGTGTGGGCTCTCTAATGTAAAGGGGTTTTCTGAAGGTCAGATGTATTCTCTTCATTGCTGACAAGTAATTTCCTAGCCACATGGAGCAAACTAGAGGCTACAGCAAAGGATACAACAGGAAATTGCTTCTTGAATTAATAATTCAGAAGGTAAACTCAGTGCTGACTCCTAGTTTGGGCCAAATATACCTTGTAATTGTATTAAAATGAAGATCACGTCTCTGTGGGTTTAAATAGATTGGGACAGATATAAATTTTTAGTTGCTGTACTCACTACTATATACGGTAGGTTAAATAGATCTAATCAGTTGCCCTTTTCGCCCACGTGGAATCTGAATGATAACATTAGCAGATTTTAAACCGTCTTGAACTATGATACATACACAAGGTATGCAGGAGCGTCATGCAGTGTGTAATTACAGTGTGTCTTTATGACTCATTTTTGCAGATCAGGCAAAGCGTGCTCACCTTCCTTGAAAATATTACAGGGGAGTTCCATCCTTTTTTCAAAAATTCTGCATAATTAAATAGTTAATATGTAAACAAAGTCATTCAGAATGATTTGATGTGATATGCTCTGAAACTTGCGAAGTCACAATTGTTCACAGTGGTGGTGAAAGGAACCAGACGCCCAAGAGTTTAGGTCGCAAAAAGTTATAACATGAAATTTTTATGAATCCCCAGGAAAACTCATTTTTTTAAGATTTACCATTTTATATAGAAATTCAGAAGGCCTGTGTAAGTTCACTGGTCCTATCACCACCGCTGTAAAGAAAATTTGAATCAGTAAGTTTCTCTACAATGCACAATTGCACATCAAAACACTTGAATTGTTGAAATATTGGTGGAATTTTTAATATTTTTAATATTGTCGTCATGCGTGTGGGTACTTTTCAAGGAACTAAAATGATCAGAATAGACACGCTAATTTGGCTAAAAATGAATGAAAGAAGGGTCTGTTAGCACTGGTCAACTGGAAAAAAGCCTGCTAGGTTTTTTATTCATTGTTAACCATTTTTGTGCCTATTGCTTCAGCTGAATCATGTGACATTTCCCACACACCTTGAGAGCACATTTGAGTAAACATCGGAAACCTCATCATTGCTCCAGCCCACACCTTGAGTCCACAGCTAATGTTTAACTTCAAAGAATGCATGGGAGGCAGCTGTGTCAAAATGGGCTCTTGTGGGCAGGTAGCTGCTGCCAAGCTGTGCAAGTCTCTGCATCTCTATAAAATATCAGAGAGTGCTGATAGTGTGTCGCAGAAAACAGTTTCAGACTTCTCTTTAGTGATCACATTTGCAGTTCACTGTGTGCAATTAGACATTACATCCAATCGGGAACTTTCATTTGCGATGGTTTACAGATTCCATAGCAATTAAAGTGCTTAAAAAAACACTTATTAATTTGTCATGTTAAGAAGAACCCAAAGCTCACATCTCAGAGAAACTATAATGTTGATATACACTCATTGGCCACCTGCCTTGTATTTACACTTGTCCGTTTTACCGGCTCCACTTACTATATAGGTGAACTTTGTAGTTCTACAATTACAGACTGTAGTCCATCTGTTTCTGTAAGTGAAAATAAGTTGACTCCTCTTCTACAGGGAACAAACTTAAATATGGCATTTTTTAACAAAATTCAACATTCAATCTCTATTTATTTGCTGAGTTTAACACATTGGAAAAAAGTAAAACACATAAAATATAACATATAAAGTGTGCTATAACTGCTGCACAAGCCACTTTTTATGTTTTATTATATTTTTCCCAATATGTTAAAATCAATAAATCAACAATAATTGTGGATTGAAATGTGTGTTCTCTGTAGAAATATGTATTTATTTTCACTTACAAAATAAAAAAAATAGGCACCCAGACTTTGTATACAACTACACATAGTAGGTGTACCTAATTAAGTGGCCAGTTAGTGTATTTTACTCTGTTAAAACAAAATGGAAGTGGTTAAAGCACCTGAAACTTTTACTGCTGATATAACTGAAAGGAGAAAATTCCCACACCTCCACTTCTGTTTTAAGGGAACCAGAGTTGAACAAATGTTCAACAAAGTTTTTTTTTAGTGTTGTTCTTACTGTGCCAGCCTTCTCTAACTCATGTTTGTGTAGCTACTGACTAGATTATATTGACTTGCAGCCAGTTTAAGAAACATTTGAAACACTCACTGATAATGATCACAGATTTAAACTCTTGCTGAGAGATTTCTTGTTAATCTTAGTTTATCTTCTTATCGTCTTTCAGCATTTGCACACTATTTGCCTACTCAAGCAGATCACTACACTGAAGAGTGGAAACAGCACACTTCCGTCAGCCTCTCAACGTCTATATAGGGCCAGGAGTACCAATTACCTTTTGGTACACATTAAAAGGTTTCCGCACACAGTTTCACTGAGATGATTCATAACTGCAGCGTGTCAAATACAATGAACTGCATCTAGTATTGCATCAACGCGGCCTTACACATACTTATATATCACTGTTGCCGGAAGAAAACCTTGTATCTCCAAAATGGTAACTTTACAGGAGAGGGAAAAAACATACTTTACTTTTAATGTTAGTCAAAGGAACCAGACTTTTTTCCAAGTCATTTTGGGTCGTTTCTTTTGGTCCATTCTTCGTTAAATTTACAAACAATGTTAAAGGCAACAGGCATTTCTAAATTATGCCAAAAACTGAACAATGACAAAAATGGAGATACGAGGTTTTATTCCGACAGCAGCGATATATTTGTGTAAACCTGAAGAGGGTCATTCTGAATAAGAACCTGGAAATCGCAGTCTTGTAGCAGCTTCTCAGTGGTACTGTCTATAGCTGGATTTCTGGTTGCTAACCAGCTATTAGAAGGTTTGCATTTCAGCTGCATTACTTCTTTTTTGAAATTTCCCATTCCACCTTAAATGGTAAAGCAGATACATTCTGGCGCCTGAGACTTACCTTAAGTGTTGAGGCAGTTATGTTCTGGTGCCTGAGGCTTCTTATTAGAATTTTCCCATTCCACATTTAATGGTGCAGCACTGGTATGTAATTGCTGCACCATTAAAGGTGGAATGAGAAATTCGAACAAGAAGCTGCCAAATAGGAAGCCTCGTATCGTTGACCGTAAATTTGTAACTCTAGGATGTAGAGAGTGACCATTCTCCCTCTTGCATCCAAAAACCGGAGCATGTAAAGTGTGGGAGGGTCAGCTGTTTTCACAGTTCATGTATGTGCAAAATGAGGTAGCTTATGATTCCCTAAAGTAAATTAGTGTTATCTGCGACGTGTAAAATCAAGCCAAATAAAGTGTAATTCCTAAACAGTGGTTAGGGGGCAGTATGCAAAAACATTCAAAATTTAAATGTGATTTTACGCACAGTGCCCAATAAATGTTGGGCTGATGCAGAAGTATGAAGATAATTACATACTTCCTGTTAATATAACATTTTGAGTAAGGAGGAAAAATACTGTGATGGACCTTTAAAAAAAGAGGTTCACAGTTGGAATCGGCCAAGATTGAAACCAGCAGATTTTCACTTCAAACACACAATCGGGAGCTTGGGGGGTGTGGCCCTGCGAAAGTGGCTCTCGGGATGCACCACACTTTCGGGAGGTATTTCATAAAGCAGAACTTCCTACATATCCAGATAACGTAAGCCCAAAGATGAGGACTTTTCAATAGGAATGCCCCTCAACTCTTTTCCTATTGGACAGGCTTGACATTGGACTTAAGTTATCTGGCCAAACTGAGAAATCCTGCCTTGTGAAACATACCCCCCTCCCCCCATGGTGTAAATACAGACATTTGTTGCTGTTGTTGTGGTGTTGTTAGTGTAATTGCTATATTTGTAGTGAGGAGGGTGAGTTTTGTAGTTTATGTCTATCTACCCTCTTTGCACGTTGTGTCCTCCCATGTTAACCCCTCACTGTGTTTCGCATTGGAGTGTTGCTAAGCTAGGCATTTCGCTGTCGATGTTGAAGTGCTTGTTTAAAATAGAAGACCCCTGCAATGTTTTCTGCATCTTTTTCTGCGCTGAAGCTACAATATAATTTGTATGAAGCCCACCCTGATTACCGCAGATAGCCAATAAAACAAAAGTGTTCAGTAGGTTCATAAGCCAATGGTTGTTCTCCCAGGGGGAGTTTGGGGTCGAGCTGGAGGTACACTGCCACCCTTCTGGATGGAGGTTAAATAGCTGTATCGTGCTAAAAATACAACGAAAAGAAAAGAAAAGAAAAAAAATATGAAATTAACAAAATGCTGCAGCTAAATTTCCTTCAGGATCAATAAAGTACCTATCTGTCTGTCTGTCTGTCTATCTATCTATCCAGACAGTATAATTATGTGATTGCACAATGTGATTATTTTCATAAAATACTGTCTGCTTGAGTGATAATATTGCAGTATATGAGCTTCTACTGTACTTGGCTCTATTTTATATTTTAGAGAGATAGTTGTTTACTGTATCAGTAGTATAAAGCCAAAGTCTTTAAATGGAATGTATAGTTGCAGAATTTGTTTATATCACAAAAAATGAGCACATCCACTTTAGTACAAGGGTTGTGTTCACAGTTATTAATACTGTCATTGTTATTTGCCATTTTTACTTTTATTGCTGATATTATTATGCGATTGACAATAATTTTGATGACTTTATTTTATTGCAAATCAGACATTTTTGAATCATCATTCTGAAATTTATATGCACTTCTACCAGATGTGAGATTGACCATACAGATATGTCAAAGATGAAATTGATCAGGAGATTTTGTATGTGCTCATATTACGGTCAGATTTAACCATACACAACTTTGATGAATGAGAGCCATTATTGTGCTTTTTTTTATTTTTTTATTTTAAAGTGCAAATAATGCTATTTATAAT